CTTCACAACGATTTACACACTTTACTTACAGCTTGACTCAATTATCTGTCTCTATCTTCCTGTCTGCTATTCAATTATCCCCCCAACTTTATTTGCCAGTTTTATATATACAAAATAGAGGGCGTTTCGAGCCTTCAGGAACCTTCTAGATACTCATTACGTGTTATCAGCGTCACGTGACTTCCACTGTCGTAACATTATGTTAGTTAATTTAATGTTTGTTCAATTCTAGCATGAGCAATTACAGAATTTCCTCTGTAAATGTTTTGTAAAATCTTTGAGCAAGAACATTGATTAGTTTTTTTGAGAAGGAGACATACAGGTTCACAAGACATTTGTGGCTATCTTATTTTTAGATTTTTCAAATTTTATCATTAGGTTTTTTTTTTGAAATGGCTAAAGTGATGACTGTTGTTGAATTTGTCTAATTATCTTTGTCCAGGTTTCAAGTATGTCGTGTGACCCGTTACAAATTTTTTTTTTCATTAAAATCTGCTACAAATGCTTACTTCTCTACAATATCAAACCTATATCTGTATTGAAAATGATAAAACAAGTCATAATTGGGGACATTTTGTTGCAATGATAAACAGCTATAAATGTGGGTGACCATTTTTTCAAGATGACAAAGTGTTTTCAGAGGTACATCGAAGTCTAAAAAAATAACATATACGAACAGTGTAGACGTATATTTATTAACTCGTATCCACGATAGCATGTAGCTTCATTAAAACATTTCAATGTAATTCACTCTTAACTGTTCAGAACATTGAAGTTCAATAAATATTATCTGTGAAACCTGTTAAAAACTTAATGCTTTCAACAAGTGCATAAGGATTTTATCAATTTTTTTCCCCCACGTGATTTGCCAATGTTTTTGACCTTAAGATTTTTTAGTTATATTTAATATCAAAATATTAAATAAATTTTAACTTCCAATTGCAATTATAGGTATCACAAGTTCAATGTACATGGTGTCACATCACTGTTAATAAAATTTCCAATTTGTTATAGGTATTATCTACGTTTTTTTTTGGTAGTTTCTATGTAGTGTTTAGGGTATGATATTTTAGTGTACTGACACTCCAGAATGTACAGTAGTCACTTATTTTCTGTTGTTGGAATATCACTTTCAATTCGTATTACTTGAGTTGAAAAATATGAAATATCCATATAAGAGAAGAGAATTTACAAACAATTCAGAACAGTCAACCCACGACACAAATTTTTATATATTGAACAGTCAACCCATGACACAAATTTTTATATTTTGAACAGTCAACCCATGACACAAATTTTTATATATTGAACAGTCAACTCATGACACAAATTTTTATATTTTGAACAGTCAACCCATGATACAAATTTTTATATTTTGAACAGTCAACCTATGACACCAATTTTTTACATTTTGAAAAGTCAACCTATGACACCAATTTTTTACATTTTGAAAAGTCAACCCATGACACAAATTTTTATATTTTGAACAGTCAACCCATGACACACATTTTTATATTTTGAAGTCAACCCATGATACAAATTTTTATATATTGAACAGTCAACTCATGACACAAATTTTTATATTTTGAACAGTCAACCCATGACACAAATTTTTATATTTTGAACAGTCAACCCATGACACAAATTTTTATATTTTGAAATTAAGACAAATATAAAAATTTAAATTATAAACTACATTTCAACACCCAGTTTATTGACATATATTGAGAATAAACTTATGTAATTAAATTTTGAATGTAACTCTGTAAAACATTGTGACACGAGCACTTTGACCTCCACCCATACATATAGGGTTAAAGTAAAATGTTAAGTTTATCAGTATTTATCTATTCTAATTTTAGTTATTCATATGTATCAACTCCATGAAATAATAACTGATTTGGTCTTAATTTTAACATTAGGTTTGTGCTTGACTAATTTTATGGCTTCAAGTAATGCTCTAAATGTATTATCATTGTGTTATTTTTTTGTTCAACTTATGTTTTCAAGATCAAGGTCAGCCATTACCAAGTGAACGTTTTCCTTTTTGTTCACCTTTAGGTTAGACAGGGAAAGAGTTATTTTAGGCTTGGATGTAGGAGTGGGAACGATGAAAAAGGGAGAAGTAGCCCAGTTTCTCATCAGACCCGAATATGCTTTTGGCCAGATGGGTTGCCCCCCTCGTATTCCACCAAATGCCACCGTTATGTACGAGGTAGAACTCATCAGTTATATTGATGGAGCAGCAGCCGAGTTTGATGGCCTGACTCCCGAAGAAAAAAAGGAAGCTTCATTCGAAAGGATTCTGGCAGTGTGCAAGTCTCAGCACCAGGCTGGAAATGAATTCTATAAAAAACAGATGTACCAAAAGGCTATTACCAGGTATAAAAAAGCTGTACATTTACTAGAAACCTTCTCACTTGCTAATGAAGAACAGGAGAAGCAGCAGCAGAATCTGCTAATGAAACTCTACCTGAACCTATCTCTTGCTAATTTAACGATCAAAGAGGCAGGCCGTTGCATATTCTTTGCTAGACGTAGTTTGGAAATTCAAAACAATAATGTCAAAGCGTTGTTTAGAATGGGTAAAGGTTTCATGATGAAAGGAGACTTTGAGAAATCGCACAGTTATTTCCAGCGTGCCTTAAAGCTGAGTCCAAATGAGCAGGAAATTATTGAAGAAATTAGAAAACTGGATAAACAACAAGCAGATTATGAAATGATGGAAAAGGATTTTTGTAAAAAAATGTTCAGTCAACACAAAAAAACTCCTGACCAGAAAGCTGATAGTGACACTAATCAAAACCTTTGATTGAGCTTAATCGGAGGTTCAGGGTAAGATGAGAGAACGTTTATTAGAGTTCCAGAAAAGTGAATCGTGCTTTCCAACCAACCTGTCATCACAGCAAATGGAGATTATTAATAGTCTAGTGATAATACTTTGATTAAGCTACTAAAATTTGCCCCTAACAATATTTTATAACTTTAGATACTGTAAATTACTCATTATTCGCATGGAATTAACTTTTGCTATTTTCACAGTATGTATTTTTCCACGTGCCTTTATAAGTGATAAATTCAACTCAAACAGACATATACAAGCAAATATTAATTATTCTGTAGTTCATTGTTTCATATTGCTAAAAAATTTAAAGTAATTTTATACCCATCAAGCCATTTGAGTAACCGTTTTTCAATATACTATAGGCAGATAATAACTTGTAATCTGGAAACGGCAAACAACGAGATGTAAACTGTAGTTAGTTAAGTACTTGCAGTAATGTGCCCAGAGAAGTTCAATGCTTTCAACAGCTGAATTACCAGCATGTCACTTCAGTTACACAGCATGATTGCAAAGGCTTATAGTATGGAAAATATTGCTTAGAAAAACAATGTCTAAAAACGTTTTATATATTTATGTAATGGAAAATTGTTGCATTTTCAATTTAAGTTTTCTGCAAAAGTTAAAACCCATGAAACAAGTTTCAGTGTAAAACCATAAAAAATTCCTGTGAATACTAAGTAAGCTACAGTTTAAGTTTTTTTAATATACCTGTTTCTTTACTTCCAAAAATTCTATAACTATTTATAACAAATAATGAAACTTTCACTTTTTATTTGTCTGTTTACAAAAGTTTTTTGTGGTTAATATATGTTAGCAAGCGATGACATAACTTTGATGACATTTTTCAGTATTAACTTTGTTTTGTTAATGTTCTAGGATCATTCCAAACAAATCTGGTGACAAAACTACTAATTTTTTTCTTTCTTTCTTGTAATTCAAAATAGGTTAGGGTTATTTTGTATTTCTTTTAACCAATTACCAAAAAAAGGATTTGTTGACAAGCAAACTGTATCCAAAATGTTAAGTAGTGTTTGGTCAAAAAATGTAATGTTAGCTTTGGTTAGAAAATATAACAAGTACGTAAGTTGTTGTAGAATAATGTTATATCTAAAGTTCAAACTTGTCTCTAAAATATATTTTTTTCTTTCTCAGCATTAGGAGATTAACTGTAGGTGATCGTGATATTACATTCTAAGAATATAATGCTACGGCTATGTGCTATTCATAACCTAAGACTATGTTTTTATAGTTAAGAAACTAGTGATTTAAGACATGGTCAAAATTTGTTTCTGATACCATCACATTATAATATTCTTTGTTTATATTACAACTAGTATTATTTGAAATACACAAAATCAGGCTGAAATCCATTTGAGTCGATCAATAAAAATTCAAGTCTTGTATGAAACATACTAGTATAACTATTATTTTATGACACGTTACAGCTCTTACAGTAAGGAAGAATATTTTTTAAAACAGGTACAACATTTTGATCATCGGTGCTGATCATTCTCGAGAACTTGTTATGCCAGTTTTATCCAAGCTTGTTCTCAATGAATAAATATAAAATATTCATGAAAGTGTTTGTTTTCCACAAAGAAATATCTGAGATAAACTTACAAAATGTAACTCAAAGCATTAAATAGGTTTGTTTGCTTTCAAAGGAAAAATTTTATAACTGAAAGCTGGTTTGTACTTTATTAGGGTATGAAAACAACACACAAAAGATAAGCAATAAACCAATTTTTATTTCAAAATGCCATTATTTCTCTACATTTTTAAAACAGTCTGTCTGCTACAAATATTGTCAGAAATGTTTTATGTACTAATTTTTTTTTGTTCTATTGAGAGTTGGCAACACAAGTTACAACAGTATATTATGTAAGCTTTTACAAAGATGTTACATATTTAAGCACACCAACTGTTACTTACAAAATTCTATGTCTGTAAAACAATTTATTAAGCACAACATACTACTGAACCTTTAAAAACATGTTCACAGTTTGGCTTCGGGTAATTTAAAACACATTGTGAATAGTATCGGGAATTCCAAATATTTCTTGATCTAATGGCTAATTAGGTTACTACTGTTGTATGCAAAGATAAATATAAGTTATATTTTAAATTAAAAATACATATGAATATTTTTTTATAACTCCTATAAATTTTTTGTGCTTTAAAGTGAATGATAGGTATTGTTTAGAATCACTAGTTAAATTCGACTCGCAATCTGCGGGTTCGAATCCCCGTCACACCAAAACATGCTCTCCCAGTGTCCGGACTAGGACCCCAGTCCTAGTCCCGGATACTCACCTCCAAAAGAATTTGGAGTTGCTAGAAACATCATTGGAAACTACTACTTGTTAAATATAAGTATAAATTATGTAAAATGATTTCAGTGAGAATACATGATGAAATATCCTTTCATGGGTAGACATCAGATAATAAAAAAATCTCAAGTTGTTCAATTATTTCTGTAAGCTTATGTAGACTTTAAGCACCAGAGTTATCTAAAGTTTGCATTTCCAGTATTGTGACTTATATACTAAAATAGCAATGTCTTTATAGCCTGCTGGAAACCACTTGTATATAAAATAAAATCTTGAAACATTTGTTTTTACCACAGATAAGTTAATTTTTCTGCACATTTCTTGAAATTAAAAAAAAAAAATCTATTATTTCATCATTAGCTTCAGCAGAAAGAAAAACTAGGAAACTGAATATCTTGTATCTGACAGTCTAAAATTAGTAAAAGCCAGAGACCTTCAGTTCAATCCCAGATCCTCACATCTACTTCTAACTTTAACCCTTTCACCACAGCTGGAACGTATATTCCCAATGCACTTTGAAATATATGGTCCATGTGCAGTGAATGGGTTAAATGAAAAAAATTTAATGTGTAAATAAAATTACACCAAAAGATTTTTTTGCAACTAAGTTTTGGGTAATTAGTAAAAAATGGCTAATACCTATATAGCTTTTAATAATAATTATACAAGTACAAAAACAAACATTTGAAACTGCTGCTAAACCTGGAAGTTTTAGCTCCACAGAAACAAAATTTGGGCAGCCCAAACCATGAGAGAGAGAGAGAATTACCAGCTAATCATACTGTAAAGATCATCAAATTTGGTGTTAACAATGAGTCGGGGAAAGTATAAACAACATTACAAAAATAACTAGACATTTTACCTATGCTTCAACAAAAGTAATTTTGGATCATTGTTTTCTGGCTGGCTGTAGAGATACATCTTTCATTACATTGAAAGTTAAGCATGGTAAAGAGTAAGACATGAAAATGCCAAGTTGGCCCACAAACAAATGATGACTAAAAGGTTGGAGAAATTAGTTAAAAAATGTGTGTTTATAATGACAATAGTCTTTTGACTTGAGATATCATGTGTTGGGTTAACATCAATGTTAACTTATATATATGTAGTTGAATGTCTGTCGTCAGGAGTCGTTAATTAAGTATTACAAGATGTCTCTTTTTAACATTAATATCACCAATTTATTTCACTATGCATAGTGAAATTTCAAAATACTAATAAACATAGCAAGTATTTTCTGTATCTACAAAATTGACTTCTGATAAATGGTGGCAAAAACTATTTGACATTTCTGTTAAGAATGGTGTATTAGTCCGTTACAAAAAACTTCCAGAGGCACACAAATATTCCAAATAAAGCAAATATTAGGCCTCAATAACAAGTTACTCTTTAGCATTTATGGCCAACGAAAGTGAAGGAAAATGTCTATTTAACTCAAAATTTTCTGCACACCATAACAGAGAGGACATGTCCCCCACCATGGAGCTATGCCCTTGGTCATAAATTTGGCCTCAAGTTAAGCTTTTCTTCTTCTCACTATCCCTGGCATGCATAGTTAGTTTATATAAGATTAAAAAAAACAAACAAAGTCAATCACGATTCTTCTGTCCTCGATTGTTTGAATAGTTATTTTTGTGTTAATGACAGGTAATTATGTACACATACACCTATATATTTAATTGTTTTGTTACATTAATTTTACCTTCCACTCTTAAGTCTCAGAGCATCATATGTAGAAATTATGTTTTTCATTAGGTTAACTACTCTGCAACACTTCAAAAAATATATTCATTCTAAAACTTGGGGATGTCCCCCCCATTCATACACTAGGATTACACAGACAGAAAAATGGCTTTGAATACATATAGTCACGGGCAATTGACAAACGGGTTATTTAATGCAATCATTGCATTTCTTCTAAGTTTTAGAAAAAGAAAATAACAACCATGCTGATTTTTGACAGATTTGTTAACAGTTATTTTTTTCCTTAATGCCTAATTCAATTGACTTTAAAATCTTACATTTCAATTTTTCAGACTTAACTTAGTGTTTACTTAAACTGCATCTTAAAATTCTGAGATCCCCCTAAAGTTCAGATATAATTATCCCTACTTTAGTGACCAGTCAGCATCCCCTACATCTATACAACCACTGTTAGCTGCATAACACATTGACCTTCAAAGTTGCCACAGTGTTCAAAAAAATATATCACTGTTCAAACCTTGATATCCATATTCACCTGGTGGCAGCAGTACTAATTAATTAATAATTGTTGTAGCATCAGAGTATCACAGAGCTTAAAACTTAACAAACTGTACAGGGTAATATATTTTTTCTTGTTCCATATAAACACTTCTGTTTGATTGAATGAGTTCCAAATAAAAATGTATTACCAGATCACATATAAGATGACTACCACTTTGTTTTAATTACAAGTTTAAACACGTGAAATTTGCTAGTATTGGTACAGAAAATATAAAAAACAAAAAGGTCCTTAAAAATGACACATTGTTGATAATTGACGAACTGAAATCGAGCATTTTTTTTATGTTGTCAAGTTAATTTTACTATGTGCTGTTAAACTATTTGTAAGGGCATACAAACATAACTTCTATATACATTTCCAACTAAAAAAATAAAATCAGTTTCTGCCATAGTTTTAATAATATTAGATAGCCTAAATGTTTCAGAAATATTACAAGATCCTAATAATATGTATGTATATATATTATTATTATTGAAATGATAACCAATTAGTACAGGAGGGATTAACAGAGACTATTTTGACGACCTGATGTTTCCACTGTTCACTTTCAGCTACATCTGGGAAAATTAAGAAGTACGCAGCGCAGCAAACATTTTTATGTTAGCGAATGTGGAGCTGCAATAACTCTTGTTATTCATCTTATATAATACACTGTTAAACCTATTAAAAAAACAGAGAAGGGTTGTACAAAATATTAATATGCTTCACAACACTAAACTTTCATCATCACTAGGCAAAACACCATCAAAAAGAAGAGAGTCAATTTCCAAGGGTGGAACCTCGGTAAAGCTAGTGTCAGCTACAGTGTTGGTTGGCAAGTTAAAATTATCATTGCTGTCAGCAAATGTTGTAACAGGAGGTTCTTCAGCTGTCTCCGAGTGGCTGCTGATTACGGGTGGGACCTCTGAAGAAATACTAGCCAACAGGCTAGCTAGGTTGTCCGAGCAATCTCCAACAGATAGCGGCGGAGGGTTGTACTGGATCAATTCATTACCTGTCATTTTAAAACACATTCCAGCATATCCTTAAACAATAAATACCAATACTGAGATGCCTTTACTGAAATAGTACATGTTAACGTTATCTAAAAACTATATATATACAGGGTGGGCAAAAAGTTAACAATTTGAGTATTTTTTTGTATTAGTAATGATGTTTTTTCATGTTTATAAAAGGTGAACATGGTAGATTCAACTATTTAATAGAAGAATGCTTAGTTGCAAGTGTGTGGGTACACATCGCACGTGGAGATGTATCATCCTATGTCATGAGGCCAAGAGACAAACACTTTGGATTATTAATCGACCTTTTTCTTAGTCCGTATCAATATGAGATACGGCAATATGCAATAAATTCTTTCTTTCGTGTACACTATCTTATTTTTTGGGGTGGGGCAGACTTTTTGCCCGCCCTGTACGTTCTTACATCCGTTACGAAACCTCTTCACTAGAAACAAGCCTTCACACGTCCAGATTAGAAAGTTTTGTTTAAAAACAAAAAATTTATCATAAACTGATGACAAATAAACTATTTTTAAAAGCAATAGTAAAAAAGAAAATAACATTTGAAAGATTTATTTATATTTACAAAGAAAAAAGAATTAGAAAGTAAACCTAACATGAAAGTATACAAACCATAATGCACAGGTACTGAAAAACAAATGGGTATTAAAATTCAGACCTTCACCAAACTAATTGTAGGTTACATAAAACAAAAGTTACGTTTTATATATATAAAACCCCCCTAGTGGCTCAGAAGTAAGTCTGAGTACTTATAAAACTAAAAATTAGGTTTCAATACCCCAAGATGGATACAGCATAGACGGCCCATTGTGTTAAAGAACAAACAAAATAGAAATCGTGTGAGAATTTCTGTATAACAGAATATAATTTGTGTTAGAAAATATTTTTTGCCATTACTGAAGATCGTGAAGAATATATTTCATACTTACATAACAATAAAAGTTCTACACTCAAAAGAAATTCAGTACATTGAGACTTGACTCATTCTATCATATGATATATTGATAGGTAAAAAAAAAGGCACATGATAGAAGCTGCCTGTTCACTGGATATCACGAAACTAACAATTAAGTAATTAAGCAAATAAAGGCTTAATATTTGCATGACAAAATTATGGAAAAATTCATATACTCATGAATATAACAGGATAACATTCGAAATGAACCTTTGGTTAGATTTTACTATTTTTTTTATTGGTATTATTGCTTCGTTCATGAGAAAGCTTCTAATTCAATACCAGGTAATACATTCTGTTTGTTAAGAAAACCTAACTTATAATACTAACCTTTAATCTGGTTTGAGTCGTGTTTACTCTCATTCTTTGAATCCTACAAATGGTAAAAAAAAAAAAGTTATCTTACATTTATGAAGAAAACCTAAATTTAAAACTCTTGTGTTTAAAGCCAAACATCTGAGTTTTGAACCTTTCTCAAAGCACTTTAATCAAATACCTACATACTTTTAACTAAAGTTGCCCTCCAGGAAATAGTAAACAAAGCCAAATGTGGTGAAGAAATCTGATTTACGGAAGATTGAAAGTACTCATTTACTGACAAAGGTAAGAAGCTGAAATATTAAATCTAATTTTATTAGCTGATCAAGTTATGCCTGTTCAGGTGTATTTAGTCTTTTTTTACTGGCTTGCACATACACTGTTTATCGTAAAAACCATACACTTTTGATCTAATGATAAGGTACTTAAACAGACATAGAAACAACAAAATATATGATTTTTCTTTTATTAATTAATGGGTATTGAAGATTTGATTAATGCATGGTAACTAAAGTATAGCAACAAGGATTACACAGGCCTGCAAATTTAAACTTCATATAAATTGTTTTGGTTTTTATAACTGATTTTCTATAACTCAACCACGCAGATTTTTAAAATAATATAAATGTTTTTCCATCACATAAAGACTTTTTACAAACCGAGAAGAAAAAAAACTCTTACTTAGATCAAATTATTATTTTATTTACCATTATGAACACTGGTGTCAAAGGAATATGAATCCTCATTCATCCTGATTTTAGTCTCAAAACTACGTGTTGTGGTCTTTCTTTTATGTATTGCATTATGAAGTTTTGTGAAAATCTCTACGTGATGGAGAAACATTGATATCAGCATACTGGAATTACTGTAGAATATGTAAAAACTTCAAGACAATAAAACCATCGCAGGCCTGTGTAACCAATAATACAACATGATCAATATTCTTACCAAAGGCTCTATGTTTGTCAAGTTGGTAACGTCATCACAGAAGACCTAGAAATATTTAAGTTCACAGATCAGATTTTTGATAATTCTTAATCTTTCTTTTAATTAGCCTAATTCTTAATCTCTCTTATTTGGCTAAATCTAATTTCTAGCTTCCAACTTATCTTGCACTAATCCAAACTCTCACACATTTCTTATGGGGCTATCTAACCATTTCTGAGGTATTACTAGTATTCTACATATTCTTGTAAAACATGGAAACATGAATTTGTGTTACACAAAATACACACCAAAAGATCATGGATAAAGAAATCAACATGTGAAGACTATAAAAAAAAACATGGATAATATAACTACAAACAAGACTAGTTTTTTCTAGAAACAAACTCAGCTTTTCACTGTACATGTATATACTGAGCAAACTATTTATAAATCTTCAACTTAATAACTTACTCTAGTACTACGTTTGTTACTTTCTTAGTATGTCCTATAGGTTAAAAGTATCTGACTAAATACATGATCCACAACATTTAATCCATACGTTAACTTGAGCAATTGTGCATTACATATATACATGAGAGAAAATAATAATAAAATGTCAAACAGAGATACTTTTAAGTAGCCCATTTTCAAAATCACCTCAATGGCATGCTTGCGATACAATATGAAGGCAGTGTAGGGGTTTATTTTGATACAATATGAAGGCAGTGTATGGGTTTATTTTAATATAATATGAATGGAGTGTAAGGGTTTATTTTGATATAATATGAAGGGAGTGTAAAGGTTTATTTTGATACAATATGAAGGCATTGTAGGGGTTTATTTTGATACAATATGATCACAGTGTAAGGGTTTATTTTGATACAATATGAAGACAGTGCAAGGGTTTATTTTGATACTTACACTGCCTTCATATTGGGTTTATTTTGATACAATATGAAGGCAGTGTGTGGGTTTATTTTGATACAATATAAAGGCTTACACTGCTTTCATATTGTATCAAAATAAACCCCTACACTGCCTTCATATTGTATCAAAATAAACCCTTACACTGTCTTCATATTGGGTTTATTTTGATACAATATGAAGGAGTGTAAGGGTTTATTTTGACAGGAAATATACTATTTCATTTCTCAATTTGACTGCATTTTTAAGATTCAAAACATAGTTTTGACATTGTGATTTCTAATTGACCAAATATAATTAGATAATACTCGTTTCTTTCTCTAGGGTATACTTTTATAATAGATAGCTCAGTCTCCCTCTATATATATAATTATTTACAGTAATAATAAATCCAACATGACCAGAAACAAACACACAACTTCACTAAGAATTCTCTGCTTACTCTGAAGCATCTCTTAAGTAACTTGGTTGTGTTCATGTACATTTTACTCTTATGAAAATACTTGAAAAAAAAAGGATGCTTTAACAGTAAAAGTAGTAAATTACTAAAAGTTAATCTATTTACATTTCATCAAGTAGCTAAGTATGAATTTCAGTAAAATTACGCAATAATCCACTTATTAGGATACCTTATTTGCTTAAATGTTACAACTACAAGAACTACTGTTGAAACTACTTGAAATATAAAAAATGAAATGCATTTATCAGGTTAAGCTGATGATGACCTACAGGTGAAATTTCAGCCACCTTTACCATGTGTTGAAATATCCTATAAAAACAAAGACGACTAGTGATCTAACTCGGAACTACAGAAGACGAGTTACAATTAAATTTACGCTGTAGTGAGTCCAGAATTTTAAACACTTTTCTGTAAATCTGCCTAGTATGACATATCAGTTAATGAAATTGTTTTTTGTTTGTTTTTTAAATGTGTAAGGGTGATGTCTTTCGTTAAGTTAACATAAGCAACGTTTAAAGCTTTGCTAAGTTTAATTCTTGTTCACTAAATCTAAATTATTGTTCATTCACCAAGTCTAAATCCTGTGTTTCTGGTTTGTTCACCAAGTCTAAATCCTGTTTACAGTTTGTTCACCAAGTCTAAACCCTGTTTACAGTTTGTTCACCAAGTCTAAATCCTGTTTACGGTTTGTTCACCAAGTCTAAATCCTGTTTACGAGTTTGTTCACCAAGTCTAAATCCTGTTTAGAGTTTGTTCACCAAGTCTAAATCCTGTGTATTGTCCATTCACCAAGTCTAAATTCTGTGTATTGTCCATTCACCAAGTCTAAATCCTGTTTAGAGTTTGTTCACCAAGTCCAAATCCTATGTATTGTCCATTCACTTAGTCTAAATCCTGTTTACTGTCTGTTCCCTAAGTGTAAATCTTTGCCAACTTTAATTTCTTTTCATTGAGTCTAAATCCTATTTACTGTCTTTTCAGAGAAAATTTTCAGCCACATTATCAGCCTTACAAATGTGTATTATGATAGTGTTAGCTCCATATTTAATACTAAATTTATCACTTTTTCTAAATGAATGTTATATTAATAATGGTTGGAGATGGCTTGAGTGGGTAATAAAGAAAAACTTTAATATAAGTTTACCATAACAGCAAATGTACAACGTTTCGACAAGGTTTTGTCATCATCATTGGTACCTGATTTTCTTCATTACCCATTCAAGCCGTCTCCAACCATTATTAGTCTAAAAGTGGGTTCCTCGTCATCAAATTTTAATGTTGCGTTGTTTTTAACCAACAATTATTGGTATGATTCAGTAACAGTCAATATAAGTGTCAACTGATAAAACCTTCTGGTTAAACTCTCGTTTAAATGCTTTCATATTTTTCATTTTTTACTGAAACGTATAATCTCAGTGAGTTTATCTGGTCATCATATAGGAATCAGAATTGATCTAATATATTTTAATGGCCAAATTTTGAATAACCAAATAACAAAATTAATTTAAAATTATCAAACTCTTTAGATTAATTTTTATGCAAAAATAAAAAGGTTCTAAATTGACTTATGAATGTATTAGTGCTGTTCTTTCAGTAAGTTTATCAACATGGAAAAATGTTTCAATCAAATAGTTAATATTGATTCAAACAATGATATTTCATAGATGGGTACAGGGTTAATTGTTTGTTTGTTTTGAATTTCGCGCAAAGCTACACGAGGGGCTATCTGCGCTAGCCATCCCTAATTTAGCAGTGTAAGACTAGAGGGATGGCAGCTAGTCATCACCACCCACCGCCAACTCTTGGGCTACTCTTTTACCAACGAATAGTGGGATTGACCGTCACATTATAACGCCCCCACGGCTGAAAGGGCGAGCATGTTCGGTGGGACGGGGATTCAAACCCGCGACCCGCAGATTGCGAGTCGAGCATCCTAACCACCTGGCCATGCCGGGCCAGGGTTAATAGTAAAACTATAAATTGGTTAACAAAATATTCTGGCAGTGAAGATTCTTTTTAATGTTGCTACGTAGGATATAGCAGTAAACATAAACTCCAATCCTAAAGTTTGTCTTGAATAATCCAACTCTGACGTGCTTACTTTCCCATTCTGCCACTTGCTGCTACTTGCATCTTGTTCAGTGTTCTGCATCAAAAGATTTCTAATAGTCTGAAATAAAAAACATCTAGTACTTGTCTGCATCATTCTCTTAAATCCTTTTCAAAGTATGTAAAAACTGATGAAAAAAAATCCTGTTTTTTAATTTAATTTTGATGGCTTGAAGCATCACTTTCAATTTCAACATTAAAATCTCCCCCTCAAATGTTCTACATTTAAGACTTGTTTTGGTCAATCACATTTATAATTTATATGCATAATTATCCTAAAGAACTCAGTAATAAATGAAAAAAAAAAGCCATTATTAAATTTATATTAAAAACAACAAAAAAGAAGGAAGAGTGAGTTTCTTCATTAATAAGTCACATGAACGAATATTAAATCACATAGCAATCTAAAGTGATTAACATGTTCATTTACTGATTATACTCACACAAACTTCACAATAAATTTCAAGCCAAAAAAAGTTATAAAAACAATGATATCCAATGAGGTGAAACCCTACAGTGGATCACTATCTATCCCACTACACAAAATATACACAAGCACGGGAAAGAAATACAAGCAAAAAAATAATAACAACAAACTTTTGTTAAGATATTGTAATACATTTCAAAGAAAACTTGAAGCTTTTTATTATTCAAATAGCCAGCTAACCTCGGTTAGTTTATCTGCATCAATATTCAAGGTTTCTTGTGACAGAAGTTTCTGGAACCAATCCAGCTCAGTATCTACGTCTTCTAAATACTCGGTATAATTTTGCCTAAAAAAGCAATATTACATAGATTTAAAAATAACGTAATTACTTAATAAATAACAACTTAAAATATACCAATTATAGTAGCCAAACTACTAGGGAAAAAACTGTTTAAAAAAAAATGTATATTTGTAAATAGCCCAAGTAAAAATCTAGACGAGTGGTTAACGTTTTGAAAGTTTAAGGTTACTGTAAATTCCAAAATAATATAAACTGCTTTTTTTGTACTGACCATGAACAACAAACTTACTTCTATATATATATATACTGAGTCTACATATTATCATAATGTGTACAACTAGTTCTAATACTAACAAATGCTCCCTTTTTCATTTTTAACAGGTCAACATACGATGTCGATTTCTAATTCAAATAAAATAAGCTGCAGAAAAAAAACTAGATCTATGACTAATATTACTGGTTTTTTTTTCAGTATTGTAGTGAACTTGGAAAGTACCCCAAAAAATTGAGCCTTAACTAATTATCAAACATAATACCAGCTCTAGTCCATACTGTTGGCTCATCCTTTGACTTACTACCTATTGTATGATTTACTTTTGCTTCAGAAGGGCACTGACAAACAGTTCAAATATTAAAGAGTACACGAGATGTTGAAAGCCTATTTTATCTAAAGAATAATTATCCCATCATGGCAGACAGTGACAACTTCATTCATGAACACAAACATAAATTGTATTAAAGGTCAAAGGAGCATTCATTCTATATATTTTTTTTCAAACATTTTATGGGGATTTAAAAGTTACAAATCAAGGGTTAAGATAGAAATTATTCTGAGGTAAAACTATGTAATGTTATATGCCAAAGGAATGCTTTTACATATAAAACAACAAAAAAGAAGGTTATTGTTTTATTTGTATACTACTGAGTTACACTGTTTTTACAAGGTACAAGTCTATTAACCTTAACTTCATGGTTTCAGGGATTGATAATCGAAGCTCTTTCTCTTGGTTAGAGGAATATTTTTCTCCAACATTCTTGTCAGCATCACCATTATGTTGAATGTTACTGTTTGAAATGGTGGTAGGCAACGAGCCAGATGTCACTGTAAAGGAAGAGCTTGGAAACAGAGTGACAGGAGTAGAAACTTGAATAATAGGAGTGTTCAATGTAGGACTGGTGTCACTCATACTTGGCAATGGTAAATCTGTGATAACAGATGTAGTGAAGAATTCTGACGATTTCACGCAAACATTAGAAATGTAAGGTTCATGAATAACTTCCTTATTTGTTCCAGTACTTTCTTGAGCTGAAACTAAATCCCTTTGTAAATAAACAAAACAGAACAATGGTATATATACCAAGTTAGCTTTTTATCACCACTTTTTACTCAAGCTTTCTTACATAATTCAATTCTCATACTTATGAGTTTGTAATTTATATCAAAAACTGTACGTTGTACAAAGGCTAACATAGCATTAAAAAACAATAACAAAAGGCTATGTTAAACCTACAACACTGTGCATTCTGTAAAGTTCCTGGCATTTAATCAGTTGGTCAAATTGTATTGAGTCTTTCAATATTTGATTAAAATTCTAATTCATATACTTTTCACCACAACACAAGCACTTTGAAATCTGAAAATTTTCTACATTCATTGTATGTACTCAGCAATTTTTAAAGAAGGACTTGGAAAAGAGAATTAGTGTTTTTTTGTTCATCATATGAACTAATTTTTCACCACAAAGTGAATGCTGAATCTAAAAAGATACCCAGTCATAATAAAAAACAAAATTAAAAGATTTTAATCACTATAAGCATCTTAATGAGAATACTGGGCCAACTCGTCTTAATTTTTTAGTAACCAAAATGTATTTTCATAAGGTGAAATTTAAGTGTCCCTGATGTAAGGCAAGTCAGCCTATATTTTAATTTATATTCAATGCTCGTGTGACACGTAAAAACTGGCACTAATAACCTAATTTGCATGATCAGAGAATAAAAGACAGTGCAGTTATTTGCCATACAGAAATCCTCAAATACTTTATACAAAGATTTGGCTAGACACTTTATAAACTATTTATCGAGACAGCAGAAGGTGGGAACCAAAGGAAGCTGCCGCTAACTGTAAGGAAGCACGATCAATAACTGTAGGGTTTACTTTCACCAGAATCATATTGTTTTTATTTTCGTCATATTAGCCAAATGTTAGTTTTTTGTGAAAATGGCAAATAGGATGAACACACACTGAAATAGAATGGCACCCTGAACTAACAGTGTTAGAAATATTTGTTCTTTCTAGGTCTATCAAATATTGATAATTAGTTGACGTAGCGTTTCTAATTTTTTTTATAAAATATGTTACTAATTACGTTAACATTAGTAGAATGCAAACATTATATGCAAAATGGTACCTGAAACCTAACACTAAATTAAATAACAAGCGATTACCAACAGGCTATTAAATTAAAAAAAATACTAATCACTGGTAACTTTCTAGCAATTGTAAGTTAATATTTAAATTTTCAATACAATTACACGTTCTTGACAATAAACCAAAACATATACACCTACAGTAAATCATCAGAAGCAGTGGTGTCTACGGTGCGAGCTGACGGAATACATACAATCTTGTTAGAAGAGGCTGTATTTACGGAGGGCATTTTTGTAACTTCACTGTATGTCAAGTTAGTGGGAGTCATCTTGGGAGATGAAACACTGGGTGTGTTATCCTGGTTTGGACCACCACCGTCCAAAACATCAGTGATGTCATGTATTACCAGGCTATTTTTCTCTGTCTAAAAAGCAGAAACATACAATAGATAAAAAGAACTTATGTGGCAACTAACAACTAGAACTAAATACAAATGTTTTGGTCGTAAAGAGAAGATTTTTTTTATGCTTGGAATGTGAAATTTCTCACAAAAACAATTATTTATAATCTTTATAAATTCAATACAAAAGAAAGATATCTAAAAGATTCCGGTATTTGATCATGTTTTATGGAGTTAATGAAATGGTTCATCAAAGTGCATGAAACCTAATGAAAATATCAAGTTAAACACCATACTTATTGGTAAATAATAGCTATGATTCAGTACTGTCCAAACACTAGTTCTTAAAACCTTTCACAAGACCAATAGTCATATAATACACACAATAGTAAACACCATTGGTCAGTACAATCTCAGAATTGAGCTAATTAAGAAAATTGAGAAAGTTATAAGTATTACATAGGAAAATAATACAAATTACAAGTGTTATACTGCTATATAAATATGTTATTACCCTGCTTGGTTCACCGTTACTAAAATCTCCAGTATATCGAGGCATCTTGTTACTCTTCTTATCTAGCACTTGAGGAAGGCTTCGTTTTATTCCCGGGACACCATTTGTCTTCACAAAAGTAACCACGAACCGGATCAACTGTAAAAGCAGAATATTCAAAGTTTTATTTATAAAACAGTTGAGAAAAATGTAATTTCATCTGTCGGCTAACTAACATTAGAACTGAAGAAGTCAATGTGTTACATAAATCATTTTAAATCACGATACAGTTTAACATATTCCAATACTCTGAACATGTTGGTTTGCATTATCGCTAAATAAATGTTCTGTATATTTCGGTAGGTCCCAGACACAAAATAAATGGATAACTTACGTTACAGTACAAGAGATTTTGTTATCTTAGGGAAATTGTAGATCATTTTGTTCCTTAATGTAAAAAAAATAAAATAATGGCTTATTGTAGAACAACAATAAATCTATTATGGAAGATATGATCAAAATAAATAAAGCTAACCTTATTTTACAGCACTGCTTCTAGAAATTCAAATCAAAATATCTAACAGCTACACTTGCCTTACATGTTATAGTGTGAAATGTGGGAAGTAGATCACATTTAATTTTGTGTACTTACCTTATCAACAAATAT